TGGATACTGGTCAGACCAGTACTAGACACCATCGCTGTTCGGTAGCTGATCTCACTTGAGTTGTACTGAGGGGGGAGTTGGTTTTAGTAAGTTGTTTCCCATATGGAGGGGATTATATAGCCCTATGCCAAGCTTTCATCCAAAGAGTATTGTCTTTGTTATTCCGAGTTGCCTGCACATAAATAGAATGCAATAATGGAATCATTATTTAGGATTAAATCTGAATAGAGTAACGGTTTTGACTGAGCAATGGAGCACTTCTGTTCCTCGTAGCTGGATGGTCGTTCAATGGGTTTGTTTCAGCTGTAACTTAATTTTCTCTTCAGGCTGCTTCTTTCATACTTTTGCTTAAATGGATGATGAATATTCAAAATCCCTGTCGCTTCAATAGCGGTACCACTTGATGGCAGATAAGGGAAGGAAGATGGCCTTTGTAATATTCTGAAGGGTAAAAATTAAAATCTCATGGAAAGATGAGATTCTTAGCAGCTTCCAAATTGGAGCTGATTTTTAGAAGTGTTTTTTATTTCCCCTCAAGTAATTACTGGCAAACAAACAGTAGTTTGACCTGGTAATATAATTAGCAGGGATTTGGTTAGTAAAACTTGAAAATCTTGAGATACTAATCCTTTTATAGTAAGGTTAAGTGACACACAAGATGTAATCTGAATTTGCAAAAGAGCAGGATTTCTAGTTTATGAAACTTCAAAAAAAAAAAAAAAACCAAAACCAAGCAAAAACATTAGGTTTGTCTTAACTTGTATCAAAATCAGTATTCCTTCAAGTTCTTTGAGATCTTAGTTCTGTGATGTCTCAGCTGTACGAAGCTGCCACTTCAGCTGGTTTCTCCCATGAGCAAATGGAGAGGTGAAGCTCATGTTGGCCCAGCTTTGCGAGAGAGAAGGGGCAGGACACCTGGTGCCAGTGAAGATTCACAGCTTTTACCTCTTCTGGCAAAATCCTGGGACTGTGCCCCAGCTGCACAATGAGGAACACTGGCTCTGCCACGGTTCTTGAGACTTGTGGCCGTACCAAGGCACAATCAGAATAAAAAGTCTCAGTTAATCAAGGGTTTCAGGCTTTAACAAAAAGATAGAAAATTGGGAAGGAGGAGGAAGTGCCAGGTGTTGGCTGACCACAGAGGTGAGTGTTATATTTTAGAATTTCTAAGATATTTAACCTTTAAGCATCCCTCTTTTAATTGTAAGAAAGCACGTGGAAATAATGATGGCCCGATTTGTTTTTCAAAGCACTGTATTTAATATCGCCAGCAGAGGGCAGCATGTTACACGAGCTGGCAGTGCAGAGCCTGCTATATTCTGATTTTAAGCAAAGATGAACTTGTAAAATCTGAGTTTTGAAAAGTATCAGTGGTTCATTTACAAGTTTTTCCTGTTACGTTCAGCTCGTCACTAAGTCCTGAAATACTTGTCAGGGCATTAGCTTTCTGGGAAAGAGAAGTGATATTAGTGACATCTGCCAAGTGATTTCTTCAGGAAGAAATTCTTTGCTGTGAGGGTGGTGAGGCACTGGAACAGGTTGCCCAGAGAAGCTGTGGCTGCCCCATCCCTGGAGGGGTTCAAGGCCAGGCTGGATGGGGCTTGGAGCAACCTGGTCGGGTGGGAGGTGTCCCTGCCCAGGGCAGGGGGGTTGGAACTCGATGATCTTTAAGGTCCCTTCCAACCCAAACCATTCTATGATTCTATGAAAACAAAAAGTAGCTGTTCTGTAACTCTCATTCTGGTGCCCTTAGTTTATTATTACTCCTGCATCCAACTTCCATAAGACAGAGGTATCAGGAACTCAGTGCCTCACTTCCTGCCTTGTTTTTGCCAGTTATAGAATTCATTCTTCCTGGTTTTGTCTCAAAGGTAACCTACGGTACTTACTTTGTGTGATAAAATAGATGTCGAAGTTGATTTAATTCTGTCTTCGGGTGGTTTTTTTTAGGCTTAATTTATCCTAAATGCAGCATCTGTACTGTTTGGTAGTTGGGTTTTGGTTTTTTGGGTTGTTTGGGGGCTTTTTTTGACCATTGTGAGCATTGAGAGACTTCTTGATTCCCGTGTAGCAGTGGGATCTAGGGAACTCCTTACACAAATTGTCTGAAGTGATACTGTACTGAGATACTGGGACTCAAATGTCCCTCGTTAGCTGGGTGGTAGGTGCAGGTGTGACACAACAGGCAGATCACACCTTACAAGACTCGCTTTTCCACTCCTACAGTCATGTAGTTTCCCTCAGCAGGATATTACTGTTATTTGAGAACCTAGATATAATGGGAAAACAATTGAAAAACATGCTGTATTAAAAAAAATCACTGAATAACTTGTAAACAACCTTTTCTTGATACTTTGCTACTGATGCATTCTGTAGTCTTGTGTATAAAAGGGAGTGGAGCGATAGGACGAGAGGGAATGGTTTTAAACAGAAAGAGGGGACATTTAGACTAGATGTTAGGAAGAAATTCTTTGCTGTGAGGGTGGTGAGACACTGGAACAGGTTGCCCAGAGAAGCTGTGGCTGCCCTGTCCCTGGAGGGGTTCAAGGCCAGGCTGGATGGGGCTTGGAGCAACCTGGTCTGGTGGGAGGTGTCCCTGCCCATGGCAGGGGGGTTGGAACTGGGTGGTCTTTAAGGTCCCTTCCAACTCAAACCATTCTATGATTCTATGATAAAAGCATCAGTAATTTCTGATTTAGAGAGATTAAAACCAAAAGTTAAACATTAAATGTACATATTTTCCTGAAATCTAGTCTAGAATTTTTATATTTGGAAGTCTAACATACTCTTTTTGCAAAAGTCTCTCTCTCCTCCCCTTTTACGCATACTGGAGATGCTGTGTGCTGGGGCCTGGCCATCTTTCAGGTGACTGAGTATAAATCCAGTTTGAATGTTAGTGCCTCTCCTGGGCTGGTGAGAACAAACCAGGCCCTGAGCTGCTTTGGGGTGGAGGTACCTCCAGTATCTTTAGTAACAGCGGCGTTAGGGGAATGTCCTGTGCAACCACAGGAGGCTTGGTGGGCGGCCAGCAGGGTCCGTGTGGGCTCACTGGTCGAGGTCTTGTGTGGAGTGGAAGTGGCTGAACTGCAGCTGGATCCCAGGTTGGAGTGTGAGGTGCTGCAGCTGCGTTCTTGCAGGCTCCTGCACGTGGTCTCATAAATCCAAACTGGATTTGAGGGGAAACCGCTCTCGTCTGTCCGCGTCCCTGGCTCAGTTAATCTGCAAATAGGATAAACTGCCCATAAATAATGGAGAGTTGAGAGCAGACTGCCTGTTCCAGATAAGAGTTAGAACACGCGGTATAAAAAGGAGATTTTTAGAAAAAGTCAATTATACCGAGTTCACCTTCTTGTCCTTACTAATTGGGGCACTAGCATGCAATGCCAAAATCTGATATGCTATTGTTCGAGTGAATAGACTGCTGTTTGCAGGGAGGTTCTCAGGTGGTTATTTTGAGTCCACTTAGGCTTCAAAGCCTGGGCTAACTTGAAACACAGGGATGGAAGAAACAAATGGAAATCTCAAGGGATGCAAGTCTCTTTTCATGGCTGATTAGTAGCAATTTTTCAGAATCCATACCAACTGAAGAAAACATGAGGTAGATTTATTACGTGCTATATTCTTGTCGAACCATTGTTTTCAAATAGGAATTATATATATATATGTATGTGACCAAGTGCAGCCTGGCAGTTTGCCACACAGAATTAACAGTGGGGGCTGTTCACACACTAACACGTGGTGCAGCAGAAGCACTGGCAGGAATGGGGTATGGGATTGTGTCTTTTGAGGTGCAACTGAAACGATAGAACAGAGATGAATGGAGTATTTGGATTTTTTTAGATCAACTGTTTCTTAGGCAATTTGTTAATATTAAAATAAACTGTACTGAACTCAGTAAAGGTTTTTTCTTTCTACACTAGGTGTGTGATAACTCTGTTGAAAGGGGGGTGTGTGTGAGTGTTGTTAAATCACAGCCTATTTTCCAGTGCATTTTTTAGTCTTTAGTGAGGACAGATGCGTTCCTGTAGTGATCTGTTCTTGAGCGTAGCATCCAGAAGGTACTTTACACTCAGTTGTGTTAGTCTGGAGTTTGCAGTCTGTTAAAATACTAGTTTTGTTGGTCTGAAGTAATTTTTATAGACATAATGTAATTCTCATGAAACTAATTCTGAGAGCTTAGGCGCACTTAGCCAGCATCTCCTACAATTGTTAGAAGTGCCAATTGTTAAGTGCTTGTTTACATGAAGTTATCATAACACATTTTTAAGACTTCAAGTTCTGTTTAATGTCCCGGTGAATTAAAAGCCAAGTATCCTCACAGATTCCAGCTGTGTGAATTTTTCCAAAGGTTTTGGCTTACACCTTTCAGCAGGCCCGTGTATGAGGCCATTACTGTAGTTAGTGTGTTATCAGAAACCGAGATAAGTTCTTACATTTTTTTTTTTCCTACGTTGAAAACTTGAATTTCTGAGGAATTTGAATCAATTCGTAGTTGGCCAAAAGCCAATTTTTCTCCTCACCCCTTAACGCGTGTTTGAAAAACGAACTCGCTTCCTAAGTGCCTTGTGAATCTGCAATGATTAATTCTTCTCATTATTTTGCTGCAAATTCTCATGACCCTCTGTGATGATTCGATCACCCACTTAGAGTTTATGCATATTCATATCTTTCCTCTCCTGCCGCAGTCGTTGGAGTCTCCTTCACTGGCTGCGGCGTGCGCTCGGTGCAGTAATTGAGCTGCAGTAGATTGATTACTCTGGGGAGCTGTAAGGCCTTTAAAGGTGAAAACATATCAGTCCTGTTAATTAGGAAACAAAGCTCTGGTGGCAAGTTCAGCAGTCAAATGCTTCCAGTGTAGAAATGAGGAAAGGTATGATTTGTTCCTCTCCATGAACCCTGTTTACTTTTTTATATTTGAATTAGATCTGTATTTGCTGGAACAGGCTGGTGGGGAGGGTAGCGCGGCTTGTGCGACGGCGTGGGGTTGGGAGTTTGGAACAAAAAGAACTGGATGTTTTTGGTATTGATTGTGGTTATTAGCTGTTGTTAATCACCTCTTAAATTATACATTATTTTAGGCATTACTTGACCTATAAAGTTAAATGAGAGATGAAAAATTGAATCATTGATTGTAAACTTGAACCGAAAACATTTATATCGTTCGCCTTTTCAGGCCTGAATGTCAAAGTCTTTTCTCTGAATTAAAACAATAGATTTTTCAGAAACAGTAATAAAACCTGGGGCCTCTCCTTTCTACTATGAAGATGTCTATTGCCTATCGCGTGCAAGATTAATTAAAGAGAATGCGTTCTTAAAATTAGGTGAATATTAAATGATAGCATAAGGTTTCATCCAGCAGCCAGCATCCTTACATCATCATTGCAAGTACCCTGTGGTTTTATGTTGCTAAGCACTCTAATCTAGAGTGGCCTATTACAAAGATATTAAGGGTAGGGGAAACCATCTGCCACACAATCTATCCATAAGGGTCAGAAATAAATAATTTAAAAGTCATTTATATATCTTAAAAACCACTTTTTTTTTTCCCCCCTGTAATTACTGGACACCAGATTGTAGAATGCAGCTGTTATGAAAATGCCACTGTTTTTGTAAACAGCCTGTGATCCGTTGCTACTTCAGGGAAGGTTATAGGATGGGGTTGTCGTACCTGTTCCTGCTGAGGTCAGGAGGAAGAGTCACGCTGAAACAATTGCAAATGAGATTGGACTCCAATTAGTGCATCTTACACCAAAGGATAATGCATTCATTGTATTTTTTTTTCCTCCCTCTGTTTTAGGCGTTTATTAACACCGCGAAGTCCATCTACGAGAAAATCCAGGAAGGAGTTTTTGACATTAATAATGAGGTAACTTTTAGTACTTTGAACACTTCTTGTTTGGTTGTTTGTTTTTTTTAAATGTACAAAATTCACCTTCCCTAGAAGGCTGGACAGTAAAATATTGGTCTGTTCCATTTGGATACGGAATTGTCTGCCATTGTGATAAAAATGGATTAAAATAAGTGACCCTATCCATCCATGAAGCATCACAAAATAATATAAATCCCCAAAAGAGAAGAAAATCCACTTTCATCCACTTCTCCATATGGTGTCATCTGTTTTCAAAGATAATTTTCCACTATGTAAATGGGGGACCATGTTGATATGCCAGATGCACTCCATGAGCTGTCCAGTGGAGGGGAGGGATTGCTTTGAGAGTTACATAAAAGACTTTTGAAATGTTCCTGGTTTAGGTGGCTGGATTCTGTAGGGAATAAAAGATTAGCCATTTTGCCTGTGCACATTACTGAAATTACAGATTATCGGGGCCTGTCTCTTTGCTCGTTTGGGGTGGGGGTGGGGAGGTTGGGCAGGGGGGGAGCACTTTTGTAGTGCAAGGGTCTAGAAGGGCTTTTAATGTCTCCCTTCAATTTTGAAATGGTTGTGGTGTTGAAAAGCTCGAGCAGTTGAGAGATGTTTGGGGCCAGAGAAAAAGCAGATGGTAGTAAATAGAAATATTAGGGTTGTATAGAAATATTAGGATCATATAAGCTCTCAGTTAACATGTATGGCTTTTTATGTTAAAAAAAAAAGTTAAAATTTGGTAGTGTGGAGTGGTCAGTCATTTTTGGTGCCCTGTTTTTTTTTATTCTACAAGTCCCTAAATGTCACTGCTGAGGTGGTGAGTGAAAGCAGGTGTGGAAATGTTGTGATGCCTCTGTCTCTGCTGTGGCTGTGCCGGGATGGGGTGCGTTCTCCACCCGGGACTGTGGCACTGAGGCTTCTCTGGAAGCGTGATGGTCCTCACAGAGCAGCCAGGGAGTTGGCAGCACTCGATTTAACAGCTTCGCTGTTTCAACATGAGAAAGTTTAGACTGTTAAAAATATTGCTCTTTAGAGGAAGAGGAGGCTGAGGGGAGACCTCATCACTCTCTACAACTACTTGAAAGGACACTGTAGAGAGGTCGGTGCTGGTCTCTTCTCACAGGTAATTAAGAATAGAATGAGAGGGAACGGCTTCAAGCTCCAACAGGGTAGGTTTAGATTGAACATTAGGAAGGAATTTTTCACCAAAAGAGTGGTCGGGCATTGGAACAGGCTGCCCAGGGAGGTGGTGGAGTCACCGTCCCTGGATGTGTTTAAGGGCCATTTAGATGGGGTACTGAGGGATATGGTGTAGGGGAGGACTTTGTAGAGTGGGGTAGATGGTTGGACTTGATGATCCCAAGGGTCTCTTCCAACCTCAATGATTCTATGGTTCTATGATTCTCTGAAATAATGAGAAACTTTAGTCGCGTGCAAAGTATTTGCATTAGGAAACTTGTAGCTAAATAAGACTTGAACAAAAATCCTTCAAAGACACTAATTCTGACTGGGAAGTGTGTGTGTGTACACACGGTGTTTTGGTGAAACACTTTTAAAATTCAGCGTAGCGATAAAAAAACTTAAATCTTCTTTAACGTTTTTTTCCTAGAGAGGATAGACTCAGCAGTGCAATATAAATTGGCCAGTAATCAGGGTAAAATTCAGTGTAGCGATGAAAAACTTAAATCTTCTTTAATGTTTTTTTTCCTAGAGAGGATAGACTCGACAGTGCAATATAAATTGGCCAGTAATCAGGGCGTTTGGAAAAAAAAAAGCGTGCTCATTGTATCTGTCGAGTTTCATATAGTAGCTGCCTGCTTTCCTGTGCCTTATGGAGCTCTGATTGCAATATGCTGTCAGGAGCCAACAGTCCGTGCTATTTCTCTGGCCGGGTGCCAAGCCCGGGCTCCTTGATTCCTCAAGAAGTTGCTATCAGCCCAGAGGGGGCAAAACCAATGAGCCATAGGGCATGCTTTTTATTAAAGAGGAGTCAAAGAGCGAAAAGAAACCACATCAGCTGCTGTCAATACTGAGCTAGTGCCAGAAACCCCAAGGCTACTACTGTTGCAGAACAACTGCCAAGCGCTATAAATCTGAGATTTACTGTGACGCAAAGTTTCCTTAAGAGCTTAATTTCTGAAGCTACTGTATTACTTTTCTCAAAGTGCTGTATTTTTAGGTAAAATCCACTTGAGGGAGTGAGGGTTAAGATGAGAAGTGCGATTTTGATGAATGAAAAGAGCTGCGCCGTGTGTGGGTTCTTGGCAAGTGGCCACGGCTTTCGGGATCACAGAAATTATTGATGACACAGAACACTCGTATGCCCTCAGCCTCCACAGCTGATTCAACACAGAAAGAAACGCTGTCTGGAGAGGAAAAGTTTTATATTAAACTATTAAACTAATGGACGTTTTGGTGAGAGGGGAGAGGTTATACGTTCCTAGCAAACACTCTGGATTTTTTTATTATTTTTTAAAAGCCTTATGCCAAGTAGCAAGAAATACAGTTCTCGCTCTGTGCTTTTGGGGTGAGGAGTTTAAGGTACAGAGTTTAACACAGGGATATGGTTTAGTGATGGTGATGCTTCTTGTTTGTTGTGTGGGTGTTTATTTTTGTCAAAGTTAGGTTGACGGTTGGACAAGATGATCTTTAAGGTCCCTTCCAACCTAGAAGATTCTGTGATAAAATTTAAGTGAGAAGGAAAGCATCTTCCTTTAAATTCTATTTAATCGTCAAGGACGTGTTACTAAAAAAAAATATAAACTTTGCTATTAGAACTTGCTGTGATCTTTTTCAAACCAAAAAGCTTTTTGAGCCTGTTGGTGTCCTGAACCTAACTACGCTGTGTATTAAACTTCCATTTCAGGCAAACGGCATCAAAATTGGCCCTCAACATGCTGCTACCAACGCAACGCTCGCAGGCAATCAGGGAGGACAACAAGCTGGAGGAGGCTGCTGTTGAGCCTGTTTTTACTTTCTAGCTGCCTGGCTGGGGGCTACTAACTTGTTTGTTCCCCCTCCCCTGCCCTGCCCTGCCCTGCCCCGCTCGCCTCCACTTCGATCCAACCGAGACATGAAACTCGTCAAGTCGGTTTCCTGTTGCAGAAGAAGACTTTATCCTTCAAATTCTTGTATAACTTTGAATAAATGGTTAATGTTCACTTCAAGACAGATTTTGGAGATTGTATTCATATCTATTTACATTTGATTTCTAGGTCAATTGATGTGATTATTTTTGTTAAATGTTGTCTTGTGCCCTTGACTCCCAACTGAATTGTATGAAACACTACAAAGTCATCTGAGTATTTTAATCAGTTTGTGTAGTTAGGTTTCCCAGCTCCCGCCGTTACCTACTGTTTAATATTGTAGAGCTGTCCTCAAGTTTTTTTGTCAATTTTCAAGGCTATAAAGAGAAGCGGAAGGACTCTTTTAATTCTGTATTTATCACTTTCTGTATATATAGTTTAATAACCTGCTTGGGTGTACTTGCCAAGCTAGAATTCTTTAATGCATTTGCATAAATTCTATACTACTTAGAGCTTGAAAACTACAGAAGCATTACTAGAAATTGCTTGGACGCTAAATTTTAAGCCTTTTTGACATTGTTAGCATGTTCATCCTCCCCTCTCATTATCCTGAAGTCCAAGAAAAAAAAAAACAAAAAATGCTTAATGTATATTACTAGAGGCTACATACGTGCTATCTATTTTAATGCCAAATGTTTGCTGTTTGTCCACAATTTCCACAGCACCTCTTCAGAAATGGATTAGCTGTTTGCCTTAACGAATACTAGAGGTAAAAACAGAGTACGAAGGGAAAGTAGAGGAGGAGTTGATCAATTGAAAATGGCACATTATAAAAACATTAATCTTTTCTTAATGGTTTTTTTTTTTCCTTGTTTACCACTTGATTTCTAGGTATATTTTTCATGCAAGGACAGTTTTTCAACCTAAATGTACAGTGGTTGTGTAAAGTTTTCTTTTAGTGACAACTTGTAATCCTAAATATATGGTAAGCATCTTGTCTATTGTGAAGAGGGTGTGAAAATAAAATCTGCCAGTTTGGAAATCTTGATGAAAATCAAAACTAAGAAATGCTTTGGTACTTATTACACTTGGTGGGGGTCGCGGGGGGAGGGAGGGAGGATGTTTTGCCTCAAGTTGAAAGGGTTGCAACAGCGCAAAACGAACCCCCGTGTTTGTTTATTTGTTAAAGTACAGAATATTCATGTCACTTTTCCTCCAAATGAGGAAAAAAACCTGAGTTTCCACCTCATCCTATTTATAGAAATTGCAGATAAAAGGGTGACTCTAACGCTAGGCCATGCTTCATGTATCGTTAAAAAAAAATAGGGGGGGAGTTGGGGGGAAATGACTGCAAAACTTTGTCTTACTGGACCAAGAGTGACTGCAGCCCCGCACTGGGGGCTGTGGATCCCTGTGTCATCCCTTCTGATGGTCACAACTTCCACCATCAGAGGGAACAACCTTCAGCCCGACGGGTGTAACGTAACGTAGCCGTGGTTCTGAGGTTAAATAAAGTTTCAAAGCCATGTGGAACCTTTGGTTTGTGTCCGGGGGAAGGGATGGCTGGGAAGGATTTCTGTTAGTTGCTGCCTTCCAATCTGTCTGACACATTCAGCAGCACTATAAGCAATGCAGTTAATTATTTTCAATTTAAATCCATAAGAGGGTACTCCATTTACCTGCTTTCAGCTGTTAACTGTTTATGGCATAATATTTAAAATTTATAAAACACAAACACTTACTGCTGCAGTTGAAGTTTGGAAATTGCCTTGTGTGATGGTAAAACCACAGGACTGAAGGGCATCGATGCCCAGGGAAAACTGGTGAGGTGAAAGAGCTTCTGTGAGCTGCTTGAGGATTTTTTGGAACTGGCAACTTCAGAACACGGTTCCTTGAAACAAGATTTCTTATCATAAAATTCCTCTTACCCATAAAATTTTCCTCTGTCGAGCAGAGGAGGGAAATGTGCACCCTGTCCCGAGAAGAACATGCTTTTTTGGGTGGTGATGATTGATTTACAAAGCTAAAGTGTCCAACAGCCGCTTATCTTCCATGCTTTCAGAAAATGTGTGGAATTGACCAGCAGAGAGCCACCGGTGCTTTTTGGGGGGTGAGGGGCAGGGGGAACATGCTGTGGGGGGTCTTACACTCTGCATTATGGTAAGAAGTAAAGCTCCTCAGAGAGGAGCTACAGCAAATCTGAAGTCTCCTCATGCTCTGCTTGGCATTTTTGTCACAAGCTTTGTGCAGGTGCCATCCTCCCCTTGCCAAGTAGAAATCTCTGTATTTTTGTTGTTTTTTGAGAAGCCCCTCATCCTATTTTATCCTATCAGAATTTGAAAATTAGCAGCAGGTTTTACTACCAGAGCATGGGCTTTACAAGGTTATTCTTTCACAGCTTTCAGTTTTACTTGGACGTAAGTGACTGGTAACTTGCTGAGCTTTCACTTTGAATTCCAGTTGCTTTTATCGGTTGCATTTTTCAGAACTGAAGAATTGAAACATTTAATTGTTCTCCAGCAACTCGTACAGCTGTTACGTGTCATGTAGGAATACTATTGATACTGAAAAATCATACCGTGGTGCAGTTTCCCTGTACTCCCAATTTAGCATATGGTAAAAAAGATAGTTAACTTACAGAAGAGTAAATTTGGAGTGTGATTTTAAGGCTTGTCTCACTTATTTCTACTTAAAATGAGAAGCTCCAGGAATTTTGGCGGTCGTTTAAGAAAGGTTAACACTCCTCAATCTTACAACCTTGTGTTTCTGTTGATTTCAATCATCCTGATTTATTCTTGTAGACTCAGAATCTTGTAGGCTTGTAGACTCAGATGAGACTCAGCTGTGACTTAAAGTAAATGGCTGCCAAAATACTTATCTGATCAGCTGAAATAATGAGGGGTGCTCTGTGAAGCCCCAAACAGTCAGCGGGAGCTCCGTTCCCTGCTCCAGAGGTACCTCCTTTCTGCTGTGTAACGCTGTTTGTGACACGAAGATCATTGTCATAGAATCATATGGGGTTGGAAGGGACCTCTGGAGATCATCAAGTCCAACCCCCCCCCACCAGAGTGGGTCTACCTAGAGCAGGTTGCACAGGAACGTGTCCAGGAGGTTTTTGAATGTCTCCAGAGAAGGAGACTCCACCATCTCTCTGGGCAGCCTGTTCCAGTGCTCTACCACTCTCACAGGAAAGAAGTTCCTCCTCATGTTTAGGTGGAACTTCTTATACTCAAGTTTGTGCCCATTTCCTCTTGTCCTGTCATTGGGCACCATTGAGAAAGACCAGCCCCGTCCTCCTGACTCCCTCCCTTTAAGTATTTATAAGCATTGATCAGAAATGCCTGTGAAATGATAGCGGTGTTGAGTAGTTAAGAGTCTTCAAATGCTGTACCGGTGGGGTTAGAAGGGCACAGACCAGTTTTAGGCTAATTTAACATTTGGTTGGGAAAGTTAATTTCTGCCTCAAGAGTTTACCTGTGAGTGTTAGAGCATGAAGTTCTGGTCGTGGGGAGAAATGACAAGCTCTCACCAGGCTCTGAGTTACAGTTAAATTGAATCTGAGCGGGGAATAAAAGCCTATTAAAAACACCTTAGAAATATCAGATGATGATTTTTTTTTTTTTGCATTAAGGTTGTTTTTTGTTAAAGTTATCATTGTAAATGAGGGCACCCCAACACACCTGCATTTTCTGAGTTGTTACTGGTGGGGTGGTGCTTCTGTAAAAGCTGATGCCCGAGTCAGCGATTCCTCTTGACGGACTGTTCTTTTGAGGCCACTGATTGTCCTACAGCTTTCTTGGTTGGTTTGAGTTTGGGGTTGGGTTTTTTTTCCCCTCCTGTATCAACTTTCTCTGGTGTTTTATCTCCTTTTGATCTTGTCCTGGTGTTCCTTCATTCAGAGTGAATCCAGCAAGACACCTACACTTCTGGGAACCTGCCCCAGGCGGGGCATTTGTTTCGGGGGTAGGAGGGAGGGGCAGGATTGAGAAAGACCAGCCCCGTCCTCCTGACTCCCTCCCTTTAAGTATTTATAAGCATTGATCAGAAATGCCTGTGAAATGATAGCGGTGTTGAGTAGTTAAGAGTCTTCAAATGCTGTACCGGTGGGGTTAGAAGGGCACAGACCAGTTTTAGGCTAATTTAACATTTGGGTTGGGAAAGTTATTTCTGCCTCAAGAGTTTACCTGTGAGTGTTAGAGCATGAAGTTCTGGTCGTGGGGAGAAAGGACAAGCTCTCACCAGGCTCTGAGTCACAGTTAAATTGAATCTGAGCGGGGGAATAAAAGCCTATTAAAAACATCTTAGAAATATCAGAAGATTATTTTTTTTTTTTGCATTAAGGGTTTTTTTTTAAAGTTATCATTGTAAATGAGGGCACCCCAACACACCTGCATTTTCTGAGTTGTTACTGGTGGGGTGGTGCTTCTGTAAAAGCTGATGCCCGAGTCAGCGATTCCTCTTGACGGACTGTTCTTTTGAGGCCACTGATTGTCCTACAGCTTTCTTGGTTGGTTTGAGTTTGGGGTTGGGTTTTTTTTCCCCTCCTGTATCAACTTTCTCTGGTGTTTTATCTCCTTTTGATCTTGTCCTGGTGTTCCTTCATTCAGAGTGAATCCAGCAAGACACCTACACTTCTGGGAACCTGCCCCAGGCGGGGCATTTGTTTCGGGGGTAGGAGGGAGGGGCAGGAAGGGGGAATATACGTTACTGCATGGTATAGATGGGGAGGGAAGTATTGCACGGGCTGTGTTATTTGTTACACATCCAGTGTGTGCTGGTTTGCATGCGTGTGAGGAGGTATAATCTGCTTATTCCTCTTCCAGTATTGCCTGGGAGGAGATGGGGAGAAGGGGGAAGACTGAGGGGTTTTATCGGGGTATCTTAATATCTGGGTTTGCTGATATCACCCTTACCATTGGGATGTTCTTAACGTTCCTCCCCCTAAAACCTCTGGGTTGTGGTTGTTTTTTTTTTTTCCAGCATAAGGTTAACAGTCTGCAGTGGGGGGATTTATTTGAATTGGGTACTGAAATCTCCATTTGTAAATAATCCGGGCTGCTGCTGTGTAAGTAGCTGCTGAAATGTCTTTACTGGCTCTGCTGCCTATGAAAGAAACCACAACATTAGGCAATAAAAACTACTAACAGAACGTTACGAAACCAAGACCATGAGAAGAAGGAAAAAAAAAAAAAAAAGCAACAAAAAAACCCCAACCCCCTAGCATGTTGTGGATCTATCGTTTTTTATTCTTGGGACAGATTTTATTATTTTTGGAACTATTACAAGATTTATGTTAAATATTGTGGATGATAAGAGGAAACAGACTCTTGGCAAACATGGAAAACCAATTACAGCACATTACCCTATTCCCCTTCCAATAAAGGAGGGGCTGAGCTAAAAGTTTATTCTTCGCTTGGCAGCTGGAGGAGGAGGAGGAGGAGGAGGGGGGAAAAAGAAGTGTTCCTGCTTCGGGATTGGCTTGAGGAAAGGGTTTGTTGCCGTAGGGATCTTAGCCCAGGCAATCCCAGCTGGAGAGGGCAAAACCAGTGCTCTCCAGTCAGTTTTACCCCAGTCTGAAGCAGAAGGCTGTTGTCACAGGAGCCCCGATGGAAGAATTCAGGATTCTGTGCTGTCAGGTATTGGGAGAACCTGACTATTTTAAAAAATTGTGCTTGGTTGCAACCTGCAATACTGCAAATCTCCCTGTCGTGGTGATGAGTTATTTCTGAAAATCGCTTTTAACAAATAAACTGCCCCGTGTGTCTGACACTCAGACATCCTATCTAACTGGGTGGGAACCCTCGGAATCATTACGAACCCCTCCTGGCCCAACAATCAGACCGGGACCTGACAAACTGCTTCATCTGTGGCCAGCAGGTCAAGGGGGGTCATTCTGCCCCTCTACTCTGCACTGGTGAGGCCACAACTGGAGTACTGCGTCCAGTTCTGGGCTCCCCAGTTCAAGAGAGACAGGGAACTACTGGAGAGAGTCCAGCATAGGGCTACAAAGATGATTCAAGGATTGGAGCATCTCCCTTATGAGGGAGGCTGAAAGAGCTGGGGCTCTTTAGTCTGGAGAAGAGAAGGCTGAGGGGAGACCTTATTAATGCCTACAAGTATCTCAAGGGCGGGTTGAAGGAGGAGGGAACCAGACTCTTTTCAGTAGTTGCCAGTGAGAGGACGAGGGGCAACAGGCACAAGTTGGAACATAAAGGGTCCCACTTGAATATGAGGAAGAACTTCTTCACGGTGAAGGTGACGGAGCCCTGGAACAGGCTGCCCAGGG